AGTATATTAGAGCAAGTAACACGTTATTAGAAAAAAGTGCGGTATATATTACATCCTGAGATCTAAATTCGTGAACTCCTGCCAAAGAATTTGTATTTTTAAGTTCTTACATTTCCCGAAATTTAATAAATTATTCAGAAATTTTTTTGAATATGTTTTTGCGTTTTCAGTGAAGAGTCCCATATTCTCATACGTAAATGCCACTTTGAATGGTTTGTCGACGATCAGAAGCAACGGCATTGAAATCGAGAAATTAATGCGAAAACGATTCAATGAATTGCAAGATCGTCACAGCGGCACGTGGTATCTCTTTTTAACATGCGCTATAGCTGTCGTTGCGGATTTAATAATGTGCCTGTTCCTCGCCTGCATTTGCTTTTGTCTAATACCAATGAATGAGACTAGTAAATTATAATATATCTAATTAATTAATAAGTTCTTAGTTAAGGAGAGTTAAATTTTTTTTCTAAATTTTTCATAAAGATTCAAAAGGCTACAATTTAGAAGAATTAATTAGTAGAATTAAATAAACTTTATGTTTTCATTCTTATTTCAGTGTGTGATTCTTTTTCTCAATCATCAGACTATTGCAAGTTCTTTTTATTCTTTATACTACAGACAGTATAGTTGGCAGCAAAGCAGGTCTAGCAATATCGCAGTTCTGATCGTTCGTCTACAATATACTATAAAACAGTCGAGTTTAGCGAGTCGGTGTCATTGATGACCTCCGTGGAAAGGATTCTTCAGTACATGAACCTTCCTAAGAAAGAACCTATTACCTCGGACAATCCACCGTCACCTACATGGCCATCCCAAGGACAATTGATTTTAAAGGATGTGAACATGAAATATCATATCGATGATTCACCAGTTTTGAAGGTATAAAATAAATTGAAGGTATAAAATAGATCGAAAATGTTCATTCTTACAAACATTATTTGTGTTTTATCACATAATCGGGCTTTACAGAATCTGAATGCATCCATCGAGCCTGGCTGGAAAATTGGGATGGTTGGACGAATTGACGCCGGCAAGTCCTCCTTGATCTCGGCACTTTTCCGCTTGTTCAATGAAGGTCTAGAAGGCGAGATCAAAATCGATGGTCGGGACACAAGCACGATGGACCTCAGTAAACTGCGCTGCAAAATCTCCATTATACCTATTAACCATTATACAGAAACCTGTGCTCTTTTCTGAGAGTCTATGTTACAATCTGAATTTAATCAATACGATGACTTCAAGCTATGGGAGGTGTTGCGGCAAGTCCAGCTGAATGATGTTACACTGGACTGGATACGATATCTTCAACATCGGTCAGAGGTAACTCATATGCCTGGCCAGAGCCATCTTGAAAAACAATCGCTTGCTCGTTCTCGATGAAGTCACGACAATATTGATTCGCAGTGAGTCTTTACGATTCTTATTTGTATTTAAATATCATTTGAAGACAATAAATTTTGATTGATTAATTATATATCAATAAATTCTCCATAATAAATGAAGTTACAGTAATCGCAACAAAGTCATGATGACATGCAAATATTTACTTTGTCACGGGTGTGATATGACAGTAAAATCATTGTACTGTACGAATATCTACTTTATTACAGATGTCATATCATTAAAGGAGTTTACAGATGTCATAGTTATAGGCAATCATAGATTTATAAAAAATGTTCGAATAAATCAAATTTAATTAATGCTTATATTACTATAGGCGTGTTTCTTAAATAGCACGCTAATCATAAAACATTATTTTTAATTAAAAATTGAATCGAAAAGTCGTCTACAGTTTTGAAATTTTCGCAATGGTTGACGAAATATTAATTTCTAAATATTTCCGAATTAATCAGAAATAACACCATGATCCGTTATTTAAGAAACACCCTATATCATATCTGTAATATTTTCCATACATATTGCAATAACAATTTTTATTCAAATATAAAATTATAATATTTTTTTTATGTCGCATAATCTATCAATATGATTTTTAAAGGAATTGAAAATGTGCTTACATAAACTTGCTAGACGACATATTGGAAGCACTCGGAACACCAAAGGAATATCAACGGTTACATAATTGGATAATTCGAATTGTAATCGAATAGATTGTGTACGTTTGTTCTCACTTAGAAATTAATAATTTTTTTAAATTCTCTTTTTTAATGGAAAAAAAATTTTGAAGAAATTTTTATCATTTTTATGTATAAAATATTTGTAAACATATATCCAATATATATTATTATTTTTAGTACTTTATTATTACCTTTTCTTTGATTTCTGGAACTATTTTTGGATTAGTACATATGTATAGGGGAGACCGGGGCTAATAGATTCATTTTTCAGTTTCGAATTTTTAGATAAAATTAAGAGACTTATCGAAAAAATGAATTCTACACCAATTACTACATACATTTGACTAACTCCAATAATAAGGAGAATTTCAATAATAAGGAGAAACTGATAACTAATATGAAAAAAAAATGCATTTTTCTAATTCCTCTCTGTATCTGATTCAACTAGCCCCGGGACCGGGATAATTCGATTAAGATTATTAAAATAAAGATTAATGTATTTTAAGCTACATCTTTGGCTACATATTAATAAAGCTTTTATAAAAATATATTTTAAACACAAACATTCGCTTCGCAGAGTAAACAATACTTCTTTTTTGCAAAATTTGTTCATTTTGTGTTGAACAAGTAGTATCTTAGTTTTCGAGATTGGACATGAGGGAACTAAACTTATAACATTTCTTTTCCTCAGTGAAATAAAATTTTGAATAAGTATTATAAGAGTCACTAAATGAGTCACACAGTTCCGTGCTGTGGTTAGTCTACTATCCCCATCCGTTCATTTTTTTAAAATATTAACAATATACGATAACAGAGACACATAACAAAAAAAATCTATTGGTCTTTATTAAATAAGAACTACACTTACTAAGTAGAAATCAAATATCTCAGACAATCATATACGAAAAGTAAAACAAAAACTTTAAGAATAAAAATATTTATTTAGGTGTACGATTTTTTAAAATTGTGACATAACTTCTATCATAGATGTGTTCGCAATAAGATATTACACAGACTTAGCGGCAGTCGCTGCTGCGTGTTCAGACATATTTACGCATGTCTCGCGTGTTTTGTTTTTAATGCAGCCTCGATTATTCTACTTATCTCTATTTTCAACTAACCCCGGTCTCCCCTATTATATAATTTACATTGTAACCAATTTTTGTTGATATTATGCGTCAAAATGTTCACAGTCTGAAACAATTAAAAATCTTTCGATAAATATATAAAAAAGGTACTTCCAGTGTCCATGACCTTGACAACATACGTATGTACTCGTATACAATATATATATATACAATATATATATATACATACAAAATTAATAATATATACGTGTATATATATATATGTGTGTGTGTGTGTGTGTGTGTGTGTGTGTGTGTGTGGGTGTGTGTGTGTTTTTTTTTCTTCGATTTTTGCCTATTCCAAAAAATGGATCAAAGAATCTATCAAATTTTGTATGAAAAACAAATTTAAGTGCTCGGACGCATTCCGAATGTTGACTGTGGCATATGGTGAAGCTTGGACCGAAGCAACGTTTATCGGTGGTACAAAATGTTCTCAGAGGGCCGAGAAGATGTGAACGACGAAGAGCGTGCCGGACGCCCGAGCACGTCAACAACAGACGAAAACATTGATGAAGTGAAGAAAATAGTATTCGCCAATCGTCGAATCACCGTTAGAGAAGTTGCTGAGGACCTAAACATATCAATTGGCTCATGCCATTCGATTTTTACCAATGATTTGGGCATGAGACGGCGAAATTGGCTTTTGCACCATGATAACGCCTCTGCTCACACATCGTTGATTTTTGGTCAAAAACAACACACTAATGATGCCGCAGCCACCGTATTCCCCAGATCTGGCCCCCTGTGACTTTTTTTTGTTCCCGAAACTGAAGAGGCCCATAAAAGGACGACGCTACGCTACGATTGAGGAGATAAAGACAGCATCGAAGGAGT